CACTGTAACTGAACCAGTTGCCAAGCCCGTATCCCAGACGTGAGGGAAGGCAGAAATCATTACTGCAGAAAATTAAGGAAGCGATAATGGAAATATCATATTATTTTTTTAATTAGAGTGTAGTGTAATGTTACTGTTGACAAGGGCATCATAATCTCTTCTGCAGGCAACTTTTGTCAGGGATTTGTAACTCTGGAGCTACTTGTCTAGGCCTGAAACTTGGCATGGTCTCATGTAACAAAGTACTGAATTTTGTCATATCCAGTTTAAAGACTTGTATGGGTGGTGGGTGTTGATTTCTGTGATAAATACAGCTATTTGCCCTTCAAGCAGGTGACATTGTATCTTCTTTGGGGGTTTGCCTAGACACAGAAAGATTACAAAGATGTAAAGCAAAAGCATTCCGTATAGAGGCTGTGGAGAAGAAAATGAAAATGAAAGAACGTTTAAAAATGAGATTAGCCAACAACCCTAAATTCCTGGTTTTATGACTATACAAAGAGGCTGCAGTGCCTTTAGTACCATTTCTAGGTAAAAGCTGACTTTTCAGTAATGAACAGTGAATGACCGAAGAAGGTGTTCGCTATGGGCAGCACGTTAACACTTCCTCCTCTTCCTGCTCTGCACGAGCCTGCTAATGGTCTTGGCTCTTCATGAACTGGATTTAACTACAGTACCAGTCACAAAGAACGTACTGTAATATGTTCTTATTGGTCTTTCCTGTTGGTTTCATAAAATGTTTGTATAAGCTGACCTTTCTGTTGCAGAAGTGTTGGAGAGTGCCTGTGACAGATGCAACACCTTTCAAGTAGTCCTTGTTATATAGTTTCCAAAGGCATTGTTGATAAGGGATTCAAGCAGGAAAGCTATCACAAAAAGAAGTTCTGACTGTTTCATAACAAGATGTACCTATCAGACAGGATGTAAATAAATTGCTTTTAAGATCAAAGAACAGGTAGGTAGCTTTGAAATGGGCTTGTTAAGGCAATAGCGGTCTGAGAAAGCTGACTCCTGATTTCTTGTGTATGGTTAATTGAAAGGATATTTAGTATTGACTCGATAGCTCTCTATAAACATTCTCCCCACAAATAAGTGGCAATACAGAAATGCACATCAACTTTATTGGTCATCAGCTTGTCTCTGTCCGGTGTTCCAGACTTTATGATCCCCTTTGCTGTCCCTGTAGAATGACTTTAAAGCTCACTCAGTGCACATTCAGACTTCTGGCATTTTAGAGTTGCTCTTTTATCTTTATAATAAAATACGTATTTAACAACAGTTAAATGTTGAAACAGCTTGCTGGCAGATGGGGTGGATTTTCTATCTAATGAAGTTTTCAAAAGTGTCTTTCCAAAATATGTTTGTTTTGTGGTCTGTGTTATAGAGAAGACTGAACTAGATTATCATAAGGTTTTTTCCTGACTTCATAGTTCAGTCATATTTCTGTTCTCTGTTTACTATTCCTTAAGTAGTATTTTCTTTATCCTCCTAGTTCCTACCTAAAATTACATTTAAAACATAATCTTTAAGTCATGCCTGCTTCCATAGCAAGCCAAATACTAAATAGAACTGGTAATACAGATTATATAGCACAAACAGCTTGTGCCTTGAAGAAACAGGAGACCCCTGTCTAGCATCACTGTTGGCATGGTTAATACACTGCAAGCCCTAATCTCAGCTGGTTCATGGTAAATTGTGCTGTGTCCGAGTATAATGAATTTAGCAACGTTAGTAAGAAAGTTGCCCCAAGACTGAGGCTCCTCTGACATCCTTTAACTGAAGGGCATGCGTTGCTAAGAAGATCCTGTACTCCAAAGATTGGTCTCAAGTATAAAACTGAATTAAATATTGATTTTTATTTTAGTTGTTAATCCTCCCTCCCCTCCCAGTCCCGATGTGAGGTAACTGTTTTTGGTGCTTTTTATGAAAATTGAATTGCTGAGATACTAAACTGTGGAATGTGGCTACTACTCATCTGCATTAACACCCATTTAACGAAATTTCATAGTAATTTCTATTATGCACTTTTGTGTAGATTTAAATAACCTTTATTAATACACTCTGTTGAACAATAACATGTATTTTTAAAATGTCATGAATACAAAAGAAACTTAACTGCCATGGATATGAAATGGTCAGCATTTCTAAGCTCAGTAAGATTAATATTCGTCATACAAATGTATCTGAAAAACTGCCTTAATTCCCATTCTATGTAGTAATCTCTTAAGGGTTTATTTATTTGGCTAAAGCAGGTTGTTAAATGACTGTAGTAAATGTAGAGTAAAAAATATGTATTTATGGAATACAGTAATGACTTGTTTTGCTTTTGAAAGGCAAAACACTTGCCTTTAATTTCTAATAAAAATCGGTATGAAATGGGGTCGGAAAGCTGAGTTTGTTAGGCAGTTGTTATTATCTAGTAGTGACCTCTGTCATTGATGATTTGTGAATCAATCCCTCCACCAACAAAATAGGAGGAGGTTGAATCAAAGGGCAGACAAATAGTTTGAAAATTGGTTAGCTCAACTTTCCAAAGAATGTTAACAATTCACTCGATGTCCATTTGGTGCTTGGTAGGAAGCTCGGTGCACCAGGGATCAGTTCTGAGGCTGCATTGTTAAATATCTTCCTTAACAAGCTGGGTGAGGAGACCGTGTGCTCCCTTGAGAGATCTCGAGGTGACACTCAACTGCGGGGGAAGAGGTTGACCCACTGGATTGTAACACTGCAGTTCAGAGGGACCTTCAGTAACCCCAGGGCTGGCCTGACAGAAGGTCCATAAAATTCAGCTGGAATAGTTTTGCAAGTGTAAGCCATTAGTTTACTGTCATGGTTACAGGGGCTGGGACCAGTTTATCCTCATGTGGGTAGAACCAAAACTGTATATTCTGTACTCTCTATGTCAGTGCTCATGGGCTGTTAAGAAATCCTGGGTAGCAGCTGCCCAGGACAGACCTCACACCCCAGGCTATAACAGATAAGGAAAGAAGTTCAAGGTCAGGGGAGATGTTAACACCTTTCCCACCCAGCAGGAGTCCTCCTCCCTGTTAATGGGCCCATCCATGCCTCGCCCCATGACTCATACAGAGCTCCCCCCAGGAGCTATTTCTGTTTAATGGACCATCAAGGACCCACTGCATGACTCATAGACCGATATCAACCCATTGTGAGATGCTCCACCCAGGGGGAGGAGCCAAGTGCTCCCACCTGGATATAAACTGGGGTTCAGTACAGCACGGGGGGCCTTACCCACTGGATTTCCAGAGGACAAGAGCTACCAGATCTTTTCTACGAGACCACTGTTTCTTATGGACTGCTACCACCACCCTAACTACAGAGTATCAGGTTGTATTCTGACTCTGTTTGTGGTTTTCCTTTGTATTATTGCTTTTATTTTATTTTTTTCTTATTAAATCGTATTTCTGACTTGGAGTCTCTCGCTGGTGTGTTTTCAAACCATTACATTTACTCAACTGGAATTTAGAGACTAACATTTGTTATTATTCTTCAAATAAATAGTTCAGATTTTCATGCTAATTTAAGATGCTTTAGTTCAACTCACTCTAAACTCTGTTGCTTCTACTGCATGTATAGAAGAATTTGGGGTGCAGATGGAGAACTGGTTTGCAAGGTGTCTAAAGTAACTACACTTGAAACGTATGCCGCGTGTGGGCTCTCCTGACTGTTCCTAGACTGAATGACAGTTATAGCTGAGGGATATTTATACGGCTGGACCAGGAAATGGGAACTGTAAATTGGTGTTGTGTAGAGCAAGATAGTCTTTCAGTGGATGATAGGCTGTTTCATTATTTCAGTGCTTTCTAGTGCTTTGCTCTCGTCAGAGGGCTTCAAAAACCTAAATTCTGTGTTGCCATTAGAGTAGGTCTGTCTATAATATGGCCTCGATAATATTGTCTGGAAATAAGTCTTAGAGAAAGAAAATGCCTTAAAATGTAAAAATGGAGGGATAATGTGGTGTTGTAGGTCTCAGTCCAATGTCCATCACTGTGAGAGGTTTCATATCTTTATCTTCATCTTATTCTAATTAATGAGTGAGTCTGATATTTGAAAAAACCCTACATTATAGATGCTTATGTGATGGAATAGCTGTTGTTGAAGTACGGAGGAAAGCAGCACCCTATTGTTGCAGTCTGTTAAAAATGATTTGTTGAAAAGTGGCTTTGAATCCTTGTATGAGAGGTCAGAGTTCCCTTCAGGGGGCTCGGACCTCCACAGAAATACCTAGAAGTGCCACAGATATGACTTGCTATTAAGGGAATGATTTTAATATAAATATTTACCTGGCAGTTTTTGATTAATTAAAATGGGAAAAATAAGTGGAGCAAAACAGCTGGGACAATTGCTAAGTAAATTCATCAGTCAGTCAGGAACTATGCATTTAAAATACCTATAAATAATAGAATGCTCCATCTAAATGGAAGCCTTTTATTGATGTGTAAGTACAGTGTCACCCTGAAGTTTCTTTTTTAACTTACCATTGTCTTGTGTTTAGAATCAGATCAGGCAAGTTATTTCTACTTATTCAACTTTATTTTAATAGCATTCTTTTGTATAGTGTGCAAAATGGAATTGATACAAACAGTTGTTGAGCTTTAAAATCACTTGCAGGTAATAAATAATTGTTTTGGAAAGTCTGTGCCTTCACTGAATTGTTTTAATATCTTAGAGGCTGAGAAAATAATAGGATAATTTCCTTGTGTTTTGGTATTGGCACTTGTAAATTCCCTTTATTTACATTCTTACAATATACTATGTTCCCTTAAATATTTTCTTTCTCTTCTGACAATGTTCATGGCAGTGCTGATCCTAGAAAAGACAACAGGACGATGGAAATGGGGAGAGTGATATACTGAGAACTCGGTTGTTGCCTTTATTGTATATGTTTAGTTCTCCCAGGTTTACAGAGAAGGAATAAATTGTTTATACATATATGGAAACAAATGTTTTTTTTTTTTAATTTTGTTTTAATAGATAAAAAGATGGCCTATCACAAAGTGAGTGCAGACCAGAGAGCACAGGGCCACTCTCCCTACCTTGACAACGATGAGCTCCAAGCCACAGCTCTGGAACTCGAATGGGACATGGAAAAAGAGCTGGAGGAGCCTGGCTTTGACCATTTCCGACTGGATGGGTCGGTCCCACATCACCTGGGAAACTCCCAGAGCCCTGACCTTGATCTTGAGCCCATCCAGCCTTCGTCTTCTCCAAAAGGAAGATTCCAGCGCCTTCAGGAAGACCCCGAATACGTCTCGCACTATACGAGACAGGCACCAAAGAGCAACCGCTGCAGTTTTTTTCAGATACTGAAAGTCTTTTGCACTGCCTTGATTTTATTTATTTTTGGAGTTGTGATAGGATATTATGGACACAAGAAATGCCCTTCTCCCCCAGCATCTCAAGAACCAAATAACCCTCATATCTACCATGAAATTCTCAAGGAAATCAAAGCTGGAAATATTCAACAGATTTACAGGTATGTGCCTTGAGGTGTTTTTGTCTAAACGCAATCAGGTGCCAATGTTAAGACTTGTTGTGATTTGTTTTATGTGAAATCTTATTTACAGACCTTGGCTTTATCTTCCTGTTCAGTTTTCTCATTATCACAGAATCACAGACTGTTTGGGTTGGAAGGGACCTTTAAAGGTCATCTAGTCCAAGCCCCCTGCACTGAGCAGGAACATCTTTAAGACCATGATGCTTAGGAAGCTTTCATAAACATGTATGAAAGAAGAGTAATTTTCAGCACTGTGGATTCATGTTACACATTTTAGTTTTTGCTTTAATAAACTTCTATTGCTGAATATTTTAATATTAGTTTTAATATACGTGAATTGGAAAACATAGATAATTCAAAGTTAATAGAAATTTAAATGATAGTCACTTGTCAAATAACATGGTCAAAAAGCAAGATGTTAGATTTTTTTTGGTAATATTAGGTGCTTTAAGAAATCCCTGTCTGATCTGTGGCAAGTAAGTGATTATTTTGTTTCTCAATATATATGGTGAAGTAAACCTTTAGTCTACATGGGTTTAGAATGAGAAAAATTACCTTTGAACACTGAAAAATTGATTTTTTAAATTTTTTTTTCCTTTAGTACCTGTTTTATGAACATAAAAGTTGTAAAATATCTACTGACTGGGTTTGATTTTAATTTTTTTCTTCCTGTGGTATCTTTCCACTGCTTTAAAAGTTTATATAACATGTTCATATCAGAGTATAATCACTTTTACTGAAGCAGAGAATGTGGAAGAAACAAGGTTTTCCTGCCAACTTTTGAAAGTTATTTCTCTACGAGTGGGGAGATGAACTTATTTCTGGCTTCTGGAACTGCAAGTTCCCTTTTCATGGAAAATGAAACACATTTCAGATTTTTTGATCAGTATCAGTTCATAAGCAGCAGGACTTACATACCTAAGGTGAGAAAGGATTCTTGTTATGGACATCCAAAGAGTTGTTCTTGAGCAGATCAGAAATATATTGAAAATAATCACAGAATTCTTCTCAGATAGTTTGTCTTTTATGGTATTAGCTAAGCCAATCCTAAAATCCTGAAGTGGTTAGTACCATCTTTTGAGCCAACACTGTTACTAAATTCAAGGGAAAAAATAGATATGAAGGATTTTGTGTCAGTTTTCATGTGCTGAACTGACTCTATTTATACAAATTAATTATTTTCGTAATGGGAAGGGCTATAGGTGATGAAGAATTTTGCTTCTGAATGGTAAAAAAAAATTCACTTCTTTGCCTTCTCATAGAATAGATTGAACTGAATTCTGTCATTAACCTGAGTCATAAACAAAGTACTGGGATAAGCTAAGTCCTGCTGATAGGTTATTACACAAATTGCAGAGAAGTCTGTCAGCCTTCAGATAATATTCTGATACTTTTGTTGGGGACTGAGAATCACTTACCATTTTATGATTTCAAAGAGTGGTTTAAAAACATTCCTTTTCAAGCTCTTCATCACTTTTCAAACTATTTCAGCTAGCTATTAGGATATTGGTGAGAATCTGGACTTTATGTAAAATGAATTATATGAATACTTTGGAACTTAAAAAACTTATGTAGATGCTATCCTTGAGTTAACATAACGTAGCATTTGGTGATTTTTTTTTTTTTCGCTGTAACAGTATGTTTTCAACAAATGTAGCCAGGCATAAATTCAGCTACCTGTTGGTTTGCATATAAATATATAATCAGTACTTTTAGTAAACCACATCACGCACAAGATTTCCCTTAAACCAGCATTTTGATCTGAGATAACTTTCATCCCATGTTGTGTTCAGTTGCTTTCCCTAAACATCTGTTTGGCAAGAGTCAAAGCTACTGCAGTGAAACCTGTGTATATGTAGCCCCACAAATACAGAACACACAACATATGTTGCTTGGGAAAAACAAAATCCAAACTTGACAAAATCAATACATGCTATTGTAAGACTTCTTTCAATATAATATACTTTGAGTTAGTAGGAATAAGTGGCAGCTGCTTAGCTTGCAATTTCTAAATGTTACTGAGAATGACATTAATTTTCTTTGGTTACTCCTTAGATCACACTCAGTAATGGTAAGGGATTTTGCTAACAGTCCTGATAAAGATCTCAGGAGGAAAATAAAATGTATAAAAGACACAGCAGTGGCAATCATGTCCCCCAAGCAGACCTCAGCATGCTTGGAGGTCTGGAATGGGATCTTCCTATTGGGATGAAATCTACTGTGGTCGGATGAAGCTCTGAGGATTGTGACCCTCTGGGCTTCTAAAGAGGTGCTGCAGAAGGGCACCAGGAGACCTGTGTTGATTTTGTTAGGCTTTGAACTAGGGTCTGTGCCAGCTGACTGAAGCCACTCTGCCAGTCTATGTTAGGAATGGAGGACTGTGTAGGGTAACAGCAGTTTGTCTGAAGGAGTTGCTGAAGTGGGAGCTGCAGGTGTTCTTGTCCAGCTTCTCCATGGAAGGCTCTTGGTGAGGACTTGAGTGCTGCTCTTCTCTCAGTTCCATCCTGGCAGTCTGCATTAGCTAGGTCTGTGTTAAACACTTTTTCCCAGCATACATACTAGAAATCATTAGGTAAGAAAAGTTACTGTGTTGGCTTTTATTCCTTCAATGCTACAGAAATTCAGTGCAATTTAGCATGGCTTTAATTATTGGCCTTGGCCAAGTTGCCTAATTAATGATACAGCCTAAGTAAAGATTTCTCTGTAAGCTTTTTGAACACCTCTCCCAAGCCCCTGTAGGGAAGTGTTCTATGGTGGTGATGATGAAAAGTAGAAACCAGTTCACTCCTGATGTTTCAGATGTTCCAAGAGGTCTTAAGTTGTCAGCAGTGCCTGAAAGGGGGAAAGGAGTCACCACAAAAAAAAAAAAAAAAAAAAAAAAAAAAAGAGTTTTCCTTACCCTGCACATGGCATTTTATGTGATGGCAAAAATTAGGACAAAGGGTTTTAATAGCATCCAAACAGCAAATCTAACACTTAAGGCACGTGAATACAAGATTTGCTCAGATAAATATAAGAGAAAAACCTTCCTTCTCCATAGCACAGGCAGAGTGAGAACTAGTAAAGCCAGACAGAGTTCTGCAGACATCACTGAACTGATAAGAATCCAGTAGTATTATATCTGTTTGTGCCATGAATATTACTTCTCCTCAGTTTTCTTCTGGAAGATATATAAAAAGGTTTTTGTTCAAGTTTGGTGTAACTTAGCTCCCACAAGCCTTCAGGGTGAATATTAAAATATTCATAAATATTTATAAATATTCATAAATCCCACATCCAGGAGAGACCAGGTAAAAGTCGAGATACAGCATCCCTCGGGCGCTATTGAAAACTGCATTGTAGCCAACAGAACTTACCAAGGCAACACAGGTAGAGAAGGCTGGTAAAATTTATGTGCTGAAAGTAGGCTGTCTCCTGGGACAGCCAGGCTGGGACTCCATGGCAAGATGAGTTCTTCCAGTCCTTTCAGAGAGAGTCAAGAGGGCATAGCCAGAGAGTAGTCATCTGTGCTTTGAGACCAGGGTCTTACTCCCCAAGGAGTGTGTCTGCAGCTCTGAAATATTGTTAGAAGAGGAAAACTCCTGTTTTCAAATCATGAATGCATCTAGATGTGGAAGTCTCTAAAGTTTATAATAGATGCTTAAGGCTGTAAGAGGCAGACTTTTGAAAATACAGAAGCACCCAAAAATTTTGCTAAGCATGCTGTTGAATTCTCAAAACTCAACAAATGTTCAATGAAAACGGATATTTTTAAGCTTCTTAAAGTGGGATTCAGATTTGTGGTAGCACTCAACTGCTTTTGAAAATTCAGCTGTTTTTTCTTTCGCGCTGTGTATAAAAAGGAGGATGCTACAGAAGTGTAACTTCATTTTCTTGCTGGCATCTGCCAGATGCAGGTTAATTATCCAGTGGTCATTGTGGCATAACTGAATTATTCAGCAGATTTCTGTTTATAATGAGTGCATTGATTTTCCCCCCACTTCCCTATATTAAAGATGAGTCTGCCATTTGTGCCGAGTTACATCCCCGCTGCTTCCTGGGTCATTTTTTTTTTTTTTTTCTTGCCCTACTTGCAGGAAAAAAAGGGAAAAAATCTGAGGCACACTGGTCTGGAGTTAGAGGGAGCATTGTCACTGACTTCAGGGTTACTGTCATTAGCTGCCAAGGCTTTACTCATCGTACATGTTCCTAAGCTTTTCTGTTTTAGAATGGCAAACATTTCAGATTTGTACATACTGCACTTGGGTGAGTGTTCTCAGTTAAAGTTTGAGTTCTATGTTATTAACAAAATCTAACAGAGCAAGGCAAGGAAAGCACAAAAAGTAGCAGAAATACGGTCTTGTCAAAGACCTCTAAGATTGTAGTAACTACTGCTATCCAGTCTGGCATCTTTTTCTTGAAGAAAATATAATGTGTTGCATGTTTCACAGTGCCATGCACTTAAATAGTGGAAATGCAAAAGGTGGTAATTTTATTTTATAGGAAATTGTTTCAACTTTGTGGCTCCAAAACTAGATAAAAATGAAACTATTCTAATTTGTTTGGAAAATGTGGCGCTATCGTAATTTTTTTAGGATATTGTAATTTTGGAGTTGACTTCTGTGACTTAACTGGTAAACATTCGTGTTGAATAGCAAGAGTAAAGGAAAATAGACAATTTTGTTGGCATTGATAACTCTAGCTATAACTTATTGGCCAGACTAATTGATTCTCTCAAACATTATTTTTAAAATTCTTACATCCTTATTCTGCTCTACTCTGTAATTCCTTTCAACAGTCATACATCTTGGTTACTCTCAGATACATTTTTCTGTGATTAAGACTGGAGGGGGAGCACAGATGGACGAGTCTTTGCTTTGCTCTTCCTCCCATCTACAGAGCAGCTCCTACATTTCACCTCTGCTTTTCATCCTGTATATTCTCACTCGAATGCTTTCTTCACTATCATTCCCCCCTGCAACAGGGAGGTTTAAATCCCT